TAATGTATTTAAACAATAGAGTCAAGGCTGTGGACAGATTACAAGGTATGTGTCCCTAAACCCCTGGGAACCCATCTTCTTTTATTTGCTGATATCTGGAATGGGAAAGAGCCTCTGACCAGCACCAAGTGGGAAAGCCTTTCCTTGTTAAAGCTCCCTGCTCTCACTCAGGACATTGTCTCTACTGCTAGTTGAGCCTGAGGAGAAATATTAGCAAGGAACTGTAGCCCTCTACTCTAGCACATAAAAGGTTAGACCAGGTCCCTTACCTCTTTGATGTAAGGGCTTCCACAGATCACAAATTTGGAACTTGGCTGCTATGCTTCCATATGTTGGAGAGAAAAGATTTGAATGTATCATTCCAAAAATACATATACTTCATTACTATGTCATGTAAAGGTAATATTATGGATATATTGGATTATGTTATTAAAAAATTTTTCAACTTCTTTTTTGTGTGTGTATATTTGTGTGTTGCTGGGGATCGAACCCAGGGCTTTGTGTATACGTGGCAAGCACTCTACCAACTGAAATATATATATAATTTTCATTTTCTAATGTGCATCCTAGAAAATTTTAAATTACTCTTGCCTTATGTATTGTTTCATTGGACATTGTTGCTTTATTTATTTTTTTATTAATTTGTTTTATTGACTTTGTTGCTTTAGAGGTTGCTTCCCAGCTCAAAGTTCAGTCTGTCTCCCAAGAAGACCAAAGAACAGAAAAATTAAATGAAAACCTTTACAGTAATTGTCATTTTTTCATTTACAAATAATATACAGGTGTATATAACCCATAAACTGAAATTACCTTATATATAAGGTTAAATGCAAATGTTCTGTAGTTGGGCTAGATCCCACTTCTGAGAGAAAATCTTGCCTTAAAATAGCAGCAGCCTAAGGCTCTGGGGTGCAATTCCCAAGTCTAAAATGAAAAAGAAAAAAGAAAAAAGAAAAGAAAAGAAAACCTGTCATTCTGGCCTCATTCTTGCCAGGAGTGGATATCATCCCCTGGCAGTCAAAAAGAAGGCTCACCGGCTCAGGCTGGGGAGCAGGAAACTGACTGAAGCCTCGTCCAATCAGGAGTCTTGCTGAGTATTGTCCAATCCAGAGCGCAGCCAGCGAGGAGGGGGCGGGCTTCTGCGCTTCCGGTACAGGCTTTTCCTCCGGAGTCCGCCATTCCTGCAGTTCAGCTCCAGATTTTGGTCCGGTACTTAGGATCTCGGGTTGTTCTGCGGCGCAGGTGCTGAAGGTCCCCAGGGAGCATGTCTGACTGCTGAGCACCAGAAAATGGTGAGTGTGCTGCGGTACCTGGAGCCTTGGCAGGGAGGCTGGGGAAGGAGCCTTCAGGCAGGACTGGCTGTGGAGGGAACCGGAGCTGGTAGAACCGGACTCCGGGCAGCTTCTGCCCCGCAGGCCTTAGCCCTCCTTGGGGGCATTGCCTCACAGTCCCACTGGCTAGCCAGATGGGGAACGTGTCAGTGGCGGAGACCCCCCCCCCGCAGCCTCCCACCCGTTCCTGACCTCCTCAGCCCCAGCTCAAGTCCTCTGTGGCGGAGGAGCGCGGCAGCTCGCCGCAGCCCAGCGTCTGCCCCGGGGCTGTGGTGCTTGACACGTGTGAAGAGCGTTGGAATCCTATCTCCAAATGCTGTTTTCCTCTAGGAGGAGAGCTGTGGTGTACAGGGTCCTTGATTATTCCCAAGCTAGGTACTTTTCAATTTTTGTTTTTGTTGTTTGTTTTGTTTTGGTACTGGAGGTTGAACAGAAGGGTGCTTTACTACTGAGCCAAATCTCTGGTATCTTTTATTTTTATTTTTTTAATTTTGAGACAGATTGCAGCTAAGTTGCTGAGATTGGCCTTGTTAATTTAATAGTTGTAGATGGACAGAATGCCTTTATTTTATTTGTTCATTTTTATGGGGTGCTGAGGATCCAACCCAGTGTCTGATGCATGCTAGGCAAGCACTCTACCATTGAGCTACAGCCCCAGCCCAGCATGCTTTTTTTTTTTTTTTAAAGAAATTAGCGCATTATAGTTATACATAATATTTAGGTTCATTTTGGTATAATTATACAAGCGTGAAATATAATTTGTTCCTCTTCAGTACCCAGTACTTCCCTTTTCCCTCTCCTATCTTTCCCTGTTTTCAATTTATTTGTAGAGTTTTTAAAATTACTGCTTTATAGATGCACATAAATGTAAAATTCACTTTGATATATTCATATATGTACATAGAAATTTTGATGGGAAAATATTGTAAGTTAATTTTGGAAAAATTATCATCTTTGTAGTGATGAGTTTTATCATCTACACATGGGGTGTGTAATTGAGTCTTTTATGTACTTCTGATGATTCAATTTTTTTCATAAGTTCTATATACTTTCTTTTTAAACCTGTTTACATGGGAATCACCACATGCATATGGAGCCTATGTAAAACCTAAACATGGTGTGTTATACTATTTTATTTTTTAATGGATGTACTGTGACCAAAAATGTGACTTGCCCCTAGTGACCAGTTTCCCCACAATTTATTACTCATCACTTCCATTCTTTTGAACCATCACTCTGGGTTTCAAGTGTTTGAATGTGTACTGTTTTCCTACATGTTATCATGGTCAGATGTACTATAATTTCAGTGTTTCTGTGGGTGAGTATTATGTATCTTTATTAGCAAAAGAATTTCCACCAATAGATAATAATTCTAAAAAAGTTTAGGGGAATAAATTTGTTTCATATCTTCATCAATACTAATTTTGTCCAGGATGGGATTTCATTTTAAATTTCTCTAATTTCTAAAAATGTTGAATTTTTTATGTTTACTGAATACTTAGATGTCTCCTGTATAAATTGGCAGTTTGTTTCTTGCCTGCATTTCCTTTGTGATTTCTTGTTTAAAAAGATAAGAAAATAGATTGAAAGAGGCAGCTGGAGTTTGATTTCAGGAAAAAAATGAATTTACTTTTAATTATTAAAAATTTTTATTTCCATTTTTTCCTTCTCTTGTGTATGTATTGTAGGTTTCTTGTCTTTATTTTTGGAGATTATTTCAGATGGAATTCTAGGGCTTTTTTTTGGGAAATTCTAACAAGAAAAAGAAATAAGGCAAATCTCTCTTCCCTATGACTGCAGAAAAATGAATATATTTTCCCCAAAACACCTGATAAGTAAATTTTTGAATGACACAGTCACTAAAACATCCATTCTTCTTTCTTGAAGGTTTTTTTTTTTTTTCTTGAATGTTTTTGACAGTGAATCTTGTATCCTATTACTTTGATTTTGGAGTTTAATACAAATCATATGGGATAAGATTTGGCCAATCCTAGAAATATTCAGACTTATTTTATTTTTAGAAATAGTTACATTTTTTTCCCCCAATATCTTATAAGCCCTTTAGATTATTTTCTTCCTTGTGTCTTACTCAGACTCTGGGACTTCAGTGTGCTATTTGTACCCTGTAATCTCTAAGCATTTGCCCCCATCAGGAGTCTGGGTTGATAGGTCTTGTTTCTCCAAAGTTCCTTTAACATGAAGGAAGATAATATAGTTGTGTCACTCCTGGGACATTTTCTCTAGGCACTCTCTTCAAAATGTGGGAGGAAATAATATTTATCTGGACTAACTTCCCCTCTATCAGGAGCAAACTAGTCTTTGTGGAGCTTTGAAGGCATTTCATATAGTTCTGTTTCTGGGTAGTTCTCTATGTGCTGCTGAGTTGCCATTAGATGTCCAGAAACTTATGTTCTCTCATGTCTACAATGGGAATAATTTTAGAAGACACAGATGGATTATGCACTTCAGGGAGCCTACTAATACATGTGTATGCCGTGGCCCAGAGCTGACAAAGCATCTGGAAGACACTTTGCAGATACTAACAGTTTAACCATCATCTGCCAGTCACATGGATTTTCTTTCAAAAGATTGTGGTAACCTTTTCATTATAGGCCCCCATGTCATCCACATGACTAAATATAAAATGTTGAGTCCTCCTCATCTGAACTCCAGATTCCATTTCTCAGGTGATTCAAGGTGGTGCAACTAATTGCATGTTTCTCCTTGCCCTCCATTTGCTCTATGTCCTCCATAAAAGATTTTTTTGCTTAGAGGCATAAAATTATATATATATTACATAGTATATAAACATATATACTTAGTATATAAAAATATATACTATGTATATGTGTATGCATAGTACATATATACTATGTATAGAATATGTGTGTATATACTATGAATTATACGTGCATATTATATATACTAGTATACATACATATATAATACATAGTAATACACACAAACACATACACACAGAAATCCTGCTGTTTTGAATATGTTCACCTATGTTTAGAAAATGACAGAAACCTGGATCATTTTCTGATTTTAAAGGAGGACTGAGATTATGTCTGAACTGGAATTTCTCTGGGTCCTGCAATGGGAGCCCCCATGACAAATTAGCTATGAGAATGTTTGTCATAAAATTTATTTGTGTATATAATAGCATAGATGTTATATAATGCTAGAAGTGAGGGATACAGTTCCACACCAATATTTCTTCTCAGATTCAAAAAACAGTAGAGACACTGTCCTGAGTGAGAGTAGGGAACTTTTTAACAAGAAAGTTTCTAGAAGTAGACTTTTTCCACCAAATTCTGGCCATGGTCTTTTCCACTCCAGATATCAGGGCTGGAGATATAACTCAGTTGGTAGAGTGCTTGCCTTACATGCAGAAGGCCCTGGGTTCAATATTTAGCACCACACTCACATACACAAAAAGACTTAAGATATCAGACAGGACTGGGGTTGAGACTCAGTGGTAGAGTGCTTGCCTAGCACACAGGAGGTATTGGGTTCGATCCTTAGCACCACATAAATGTAAAATAAAGATATTGTGTCAACCTAAAACTAAAAAATAAGTATTAAAAAAAAAGATATCAGACAGCAAGCAAAAAAAAACACACACACACATATATAAATAATATATTTAATATGTAGTGTAAATATATTGTAAAAATATACATAGATTGATAGATATATTACATTATATACGCACACACATTACATTATATATGCACACACACACATATACACACACATAGAAATCTTGTTTTTTTAAATATATATCACTAACCAAGTCCTAAAATTAAAAAAAAAAAAGTTATATGAGTTATGTAATGTGGTGGAGGTATTTGGGCTTTCAAATTAAATACAATTCATTTCTATTTGTAATTTATTTTGGGGTACCACCGAATGAACCCAGTGGCACTCGGATACATCCTCAACCCTTGTTTGTATTTTATTTAATGACAGGGTCTCAATTACGTTGCTTAGGGCCTCATTACATTTCTGAGGCTCACTTTGAACTTGTGTTTCTCCTGCCTCAGCCTCTGGAGGAAAAAAGTCTACTTCTAGAAACTTTCTTGTTAACTGAAGTTTCAAGCATATGCCACCACACCTGGTGATACTTGCTTATTAATTGAAGGGGCTTTGGTCATTGGAGGAAAAAAGAATGTCACAGACTGGCCATTAGGTCTAATGTAGTTGGACACAATACTTTTTTTTAAAAAAAATTTATTTATTTATTTTTATATGGTGCTGAGGATTGAACCCAGGGTCGCATGTGCTAGGCGAGTGCTCAGGCTGAGCCACAGCTCCAGCCCCAAGGAGTTTACCTTTAATGCGTTTAAATAATAGACTCAAGGCTGTGGATAGATCTGAAGACATGGGCCCCACCTTCTGGAACTTCACCTTTTGCTTGCTATCTGATATCTGGAATGGAAGGGACTATGGCCAGCATTTGGTGATAAAAAATCTACTTTTGGAAATATTCTGGTTAAAGTTTTCTGCTTTCACCCAGGACAGTGTCTCTTCTATTTTTTTGGACTTGAGGAGACATATTGTTGAGGAATTGAATCCCTCACCTGTAGCATAAAAAGGAGTAGTAAGGACCTTCGTCTCCTTGAGGTCAGAAGAATTATAGCTCTGAAATCTGAAATATGGTTCTGTGAACTGAGATATTCTGGAGGCTTGACATATCAGTTTTGAGAGTGTAGTCCCCAAAATACATACATTTCTTTAGTAATATTTTATTGGTTTCATAACTGTAATATTCCCATAATGAATATATTGGGTTGTGTTATTAAAATCAATTTCTACTGTTTATTTATTATTTTTAAAAGTTGTCGATGGACCTTTATTTTTTTTGTTATTTATATGCAGTGCTGAGAATTGAACTCAGTGCTGGTAAGTGCTCTACCACTGAGCCACAACTCTAGTCCTACAATTTATTTTTTTATGTGAATACTAGAACAATTTTGATTAGGCTTGTGACTCACATATTCTTATCATTGGAAAGTGCTGCCTTATGGGATTGCTTCCCAGTTCAATGTTCAGTCTGTTTCCTCAGAAGAGGAGAGAGCAGGAAAGTTAAATGAAATTTTACAGTATTGTCATTTTATTATTTACATTTATAAATAATATACGGGCATATATACCCACAGATTGAAACGGTCTTCTGTGAAAGGTTAAATGCAAATGCCCTCTTGACTGGGCTGGGTCCCTCTACTACAAGGAAACCTTACCTTAAATCAGCTGCATCCTGAGGCTCTGGATTTCAATTCCCAATACCTAAAAAAAAAAAAAAAAAAAAAAAACTGCAGCCAAGAGGTCATTCTGACCTCATTCTTTTCAGCATTTGGTGTCACCTCCTGTAACTCAAACATAAGACTCACTATGCTTAGCCTGAGAGGGTGAAGATATAAGCCCTGTCCACTTAGGAGTCCTTAGGTCAAATCAAGCACATGGCCAATGACTAGGAGCAGGCTTTGACCATCTCGTGTGGCTTTTGTCTCTTGAGCCTGCCAGCGTTGTTATTCATCTCGAATCTTCTTATTTATGTTCCTTTTTCATGTTTGCTCTGCTGTGCAGGTACTGAAAGATCTAAAAGATCTACTGAGAGAACACTGGGCACCTCAAAAACCATTAAGTGGTGAGTGTACAGTGACTTCCTGAGACAAGGGGCATGGCTACTTGAAATTGGCTGGATTACAATGGGAACTGATGATTGTGGACTGGAATTCCTTTGGTAGTTTCTTGAATCTGCAGGCCTAGGTCCTCCCTGGGCCAGGTTAGCCTTGAGTCCTTACTGGCCGGTCAAGTGGGGCATGTATCAGCAATGAGGAACCTGAGAGTCCTGTCTTATTCCTGCAGAGAAATCCTATCTGAAGGTGCAGCATTCCAGCACCTTCCCAGAATGTGTATTGAATTGAATTGAGCAGTGGGATGATCATCAGTCACAGCTCCATGTGTGTCTTCTTGCATGAGGGGGGCTATGGTTCTGCAGGAGTCTCAGTTCTTCCTTCCTCTTGAGCTTTCTATTCTTTCTTTTTTTTGTGAGGGTGGGGTTACTGTGGATTAAACCCAGAGGTCCTATATCACTGAGCTATATCCTTTTTACTTTTCATTATTATTATTTTTATTTTGAGACAGATGCTGAGTCTGGCCTTGAACTTGTTCTTCAGTTTCCTGAGTTTCTGGAATTACAGGTGTGTGCCATCCTGCCTGGATTCCCCTGAATATTCTAAATTTATGGGAAGCAAAGTATCAAATCCAGAACCCCATCTCCCAGCCTAAACCTCTGTACATCTGTCAGTACATTCCTAAACTGCCAGCTTCATGTCCATATTCTCAATTATACTGTTCCTTTCTCCACAGTATTGTCAATTATTTTTTCCCCATGCTACATTTCAAATGGGTACAGTATTTTTTAATTGTTTTACCAAGAACTGGATGGACCTTTTTAAGGGATTTTTTTTTTTTTTTTCCTGGCTATATGCAGTAGCACATGCCTATATTTCCATAGACTGGTGGTTAAGGCAGGGAGATTGCAATTTCAATGTCAACCTCGAAATTTTAGGTAGACTGTGGGCAAGTGAGCAAGACCTGTCTCAAAATATTTAAACAAGGTCTGGGGATATAGCTCATATTTAACATGCTTTTGTGTTAAATCCCCAGTACCACAGAAAAATAAAAAGCAAAAGATTTGTTTTCTGTTTATGAGCATTTCACATAAGAGAAAAGTAGAGAAGAATCACTTGACCTTTGTAAAAATGTGCGTATATGTATCCTGTCTTTGTCTCTCCCAGGCCAGAAACCTTGACAGGATGTCTTTGGGCTGAGAGTCCCCTTATGGAATTTATGTCTTTGTTATTTTCCTGGTGCTGTGTTTCAGAACTGCCTGACATGAGGATCCCACACCTGGTACAACTGAGGTCTCTTAGAGTGACTAATGAATGTCAGTATTTGGGTCCTAGCTTGTTAAACAGCAGTCTTAAGTTTAGGAAGTACAGTTTATTAAGGAAGTAAGTAGCTGAGTGGCCTCCTGCTGAAAGGAATCTCCTTAATTTCCTGTTGTGTCCTTAATCCAAAAGGCACTTCAGTTGTTTCCTTATCTTGGCTTCTATGAATACTGCTATAATGAATATGACAATGTAGCCATTTTTTAACATACTGATTCCAATTCCATTGGAAATAGTGTGTTAGCTTTTAAAGAACTCTAAGTCTATTTAAAAAAAAATGACTGTTATTGAATTTATATTCTAGCCCAGTGTGAAAGTGTTTCTTTCTTCCGTATCCATATAATTGGAGTACTAGTTATCCTTCAACTCTTTGATAGTAGCCATTCTAATAGCTATGCTCAGGATGCAGAAGTTCTCATACTTGGCTGGTGACTAAATTCCTGATTGAAGTTTGTTAGAATCTAGGCTGCTATGTACTCACTAGAAGAAGGTGGTGTAAACCTATTCTAGAAAGAAACAGAGATCTGGATTTTTAGCCCTTTTTCTTTACTCCTGGTGGGGATTGCAGCCCATGGAAATACTCATACATCAATGTGAAGCCCCTCATTTGTTATCTAGGGAGATTTGCACATGCACAGTTGCCATTTCTCCAAAAATTTGGAGGTTTAGGATGTAGTGCATTGAATGAAAAAAGTTATAAAGTTTTTAACTTTAACTCTGAGTGCAAGAGCAAATTCCTGTATGAACAATTGATTAGGACTGGAGTTATTATTGAAGTGAGATAGGAGAGAGGGCTCAGGCAGTGCTGAACTCTCACTTGGGTTGCCAATGGTGGACTGTGTTTTCCGTGTTAACTCTTTGGTACTGGCAGGATAGAGGCTCAACTGTTAGCATTAGCATTTTGCAGAGTATGCTGGCAAATTCATTCCAGGGATGAAGTGGGACCCTTGAGATTTCAGTCCTCCTCTGCTCTGGTCCCAGGGAATGTAGCCCATTCATTGATCTTGCATGGACATGTAAAGACACCATTTTCCTTTCCTCTGGTCTTGATACTTGTATATATATAGTCCTTTCCTCTCTATGCACCAGATAAACTAAGATTCAACCTATAAGAAATATAGCATTAAATGTGTTGTATTTATCATCCCAATCAATCTTCCTCTACTCAGAGTGACAGGATTTAATGTCCAAATTGTGTGGCACATTTCTTAAGGCAGGACTAGTGTCCAGGTGTCCATCAACTTTTTCTACTCATCTGGTGGTAGATATTTTCTCAGTTGTCCAATGTACACAAGTCTCTCAATTTATTTATGCCTTTATTTGAGAGAGACTTAAAACAAGAGTAAGTGTTTATTTGGTGTATCCATGATTGGAGGGAGAGTCAGGAGCCTCCTTTTCTGCTATATTTTGAAAATCATCCCTTTTAACATCTGTTTTTTGGGGGGGCTGGGGTATAATTCTGGTACCAAACATAATCTGCACCCAAACCCTACCAATGATCTGTGCCTCCGGTTCTAACATCTATATTTATGTTGGGTTGTATCATTCACTCATATCAAATATTTTTTGTCATATGGTTGCATTTGTACAGACTCTTTTATTGCACTTAACAGTAACAATGATTTGTTCATACATATGAGTTTATGAAATTTTCTGCATTATAATTTCTTGGTCTTCAAATTATTGCAATATTAGAGTTTTATAATGTACAGTAGTGTCAGGTAATGAGAGCTGCTGCTTTTTCTCTCACGTTCAGAGTTCAGGGCTAATTTCATATATATTTAACCTTCCAGCAGAATTTTAGAACTTTTTGATTTGGTCTCTTATTCAATTTAAAGTAAAGCATGTTGAAATTTTTATGAGGTATTATTATAGAATAACCTGGGGGAAATGGTCATCTTTATAATGACAGGTTTTGTCATCTACAAATGGGGTGTGTAACTGAGTCTTTTCTGTGCTTCTATGTATTTTTGTTTTCTCAAATTCTAAAGATTTTCTTTTAAAATATGCTTACCTTATAAGTAATATATAGCATATAACATGTCACTTATAACCTTATAAATGACATATAACATTCATGTGACACATATAAAAAGTTACATGGTGCTTTATACTATTTTTTCCACTAGATTTAATATGAAAAAAAAGTGACTTCTTCTAGAAATCATTATTTCCCATAGTTTATTATTTATCAATTTCTAATGTTCATTCTCTTTAATCAGGAAATACTGCTGTATTCTTATATATACATGTGCTGTAGTTTTAGTTTATTTCTGGTGTGGATATATCAGATTCTTCAATAGCAAAACAGTTTGCACACATGGATAGCAACAACTCAAACTCCATCTTCCCTTCATGATTATTCATTTATTCCATATGTTCATTCACAATTTTTAATTTGGGGTATATAATTTTATTTTATTTTACATTACCCATGTTGGTTTTTTTATGATTATTTAACACTTAGATATCTCATGGAAATTGGCTATTCATTTTCTTGCATGCATTTTCTTTGCAATCTTCCACCCCCGCCCCCGCCACTGGTAGTATTTTTTCCCACTGATAGTTTGATCATATGTGAGGAAAATTAGTTACTTTTGCTCTTTCACTTCATTTTGCACCCTTTAATGGTATTGGATTAACAGAATTTTCATTTTAATACTATGTAATTCATTAATTTAAAAATATTTTGTGTAACTTTGAAAATAAATAACTGTGTAATTTTTCGTTATTTTTCCCTTTTGTGATTCTGGGAATTGAAACCAGGATGTCCTATTGCTTAGCTATATCTTCACCCTTTTTTAAACGTTATTTATGATTATTATTTATTGTTATTATTATTATTATTATTATCAATTTATTTTTTTTACAAGGGATTGAACTTAGGGGCGCTTAACCACGGAGCCACACCACCAGCCCAATTTTTGTATTTAGAGACAGGGTCTTACTGAGTTGCTTAACACCCTGCCTTTGCTGAGGCTGCCTTTGAACTCACAATCCTCCTGCCTCAGTCTCTCAATTAAAAGTTATTTGAGACAGATTTGCTCACTTGATAGGATTAGTCTCAAAATTGTGCATCATTGTATACATACATATATATGTCATTATATAGTATATAATGGACATGATTTTTACTTGTCAAGTTTACCAGTGCTCTTTTAATTTTATTTGCTTTTTAAAAGCACCAGCATTGACATTGGTGATTCTTTTTTGTGGTATGTTCGTTTTCAATATTTGCTAAATTTTCTCTTTTTCTTAGGATTTTTTTTCTCTAGTCTTATTTTTATAAAGTATACTTTTTCCAAACTATTATGGCTTACTGATCTAAGACTGCATGTTTTCTTTTTAACCTCAGCTTTAGATGCATCTCCCTTTTTTACATTTATGGCGGTTTGACAGACACACATTAACCTGTATACATCTTAGGAATCTATCTATCTTTATCTTTTGGCTTATGTACATATCCAAGAAACCAACACCACAATCAAAAAATTATCATATCCATTATTACAAACTAGTTCCCTTTTACATTCTTTTTTTCTGCTCTTCCCCACAACCTTTTACATAATAAATTTGATCTTACTTAGCACAATAAGAAGAGGATATTGACATTATATAGATTCTTGAATTATCATTAAAAAAAAAACATTCCATGTTCTATTGCTTACTAGAAAAAGAACGTTAATGGTACTCCAATAACCCCTTCATGCCCTCTTCCTCTTACTACTACTCCATGATCCCCAGTGGTAAGTATTTTTTTTTCCTATCTAATACTCTTAAAGCATTAAAAAAAAATGAGCAAACTTGTAATAAAACAGAAGTGTGACTCCCTCTTTACTCATTAATCCAAAAAAGGGAGGACAAGGAGCAACTGAGGGTTGTGGTGCCAACATTGACCCAACCCCAGGCTGCTTCTCGATGATTGGAGGGGATGTGAGGCAAATCCAGAGATGAAGGAGAGGGCTAAGGCAGGATGTGAGGCGGGGGCTACTAAGAGAGGTTACCAAAGTGCAAGAGGGAGGAGGGAAGAAAAGAGAAATGAAGAGGGGGGGGCAAATGGGGACCAGTGGTAAGCTCAAATGAAGCAGAAAAGAAGGTGTAACAATGGCACAGTGAGGGGGGAGTGTTAGCATCTGGAGAGGTGAAAATATGAAGGCAGGGGTGACAAAAGAGAGTGACATCCTTGGTGCAGTTCTCCAAGCTACAAGCAGGTGAAAGGTTCACACCCTAGTTTTTTCCTCCCACTCTCACTTCCCAAGTGACATCCCATCCCAAGTTCATTGGAAAGATTTTCCTTCTGTCACCCCAATTTCTGTCTTCTTCCAATTGGCGTTCACTTTATCTTCTTCCTCATCTTCTGCATCCTGTTTATTCACTCTCCATCCTTTGCAGGTTCTTTTTCCCCCTCAGCCCCCCTCATCCTCCTCTTCCATGTCTTTATTTTGCTCTTTCCAGCTTGCCTTATACTTTTCTTTCTTATTTTTATTTTTCAGAGCATTGGCACTAAATGTGGTCTCACTGCCTCCTGGTCTTCTCTGAGTTGATACTGGGACAAAGTTGGGACAGGTGTGAAAACTGGGTCCCAGTGTCCAGACTGAAAGGTCCTGCACTTCAGAGTGTGGTGGCAGCTGGAAGGACCTTTCCCAGTGATAAAGGCAGCAGTGATGGGGGCAGTTAGAGCATTGTCCGAGAATCTTGTTTTCCACTTCTCTTCTCTTTAGGGGTAGAATTAATGATTCATAGTGTATGCATGAATAGATAGCACCACACCATGTTCCAGGTGGCTTTATCTTTTACCTTGCCATGGCAGGCTTGGTAATTCCTATCAATTATCATCTCTGTGGCCGTTAGTCACATATATATTTATTTATCATTTGAATGTTTTCTCCTTTGTGAAATCTATTTTTGAAACTTCTCATCTGTGCTGTACTCTGTTGGCATGTCTTTCTTCCCCCCCAAAAATGAATAACACTTCATATATTCTGCACTATAAACACTTTACTAAAAATGTTAACTAAAACATCTTTGACTTTCAACTTTGGAGACACACTGACTTAAAATGACAAAAGTAATTTTTTTTTTTTTTTGGTCCTGGGGATTAAACTCAGGGGCTCTTGACCACCGAGCCCCATTCCCAGCCCTAATTTGTGTTTTATGTAGAGATAGGGTCTCACCGAGTTGCTTAGCCTGTAGCTGTTTCTGAAGGCTGGCCTCCAACTCATGATCCTCCTGCCTCAGTCTTGTAAGCTGCTGGGATTACAGGTCTGTGCTCAGAAAACTAACAGTATTCAAGATTTATCAGTTGTTTATGTACAAAAGAAAATAAATATTCAAATTGGAAATTAAAAACAATTCTAGTGACAATTATGACAAAAGCAAAATACTTAGGAATATTTTTTAGAATGTTGTGAAAACTTGAACATTAAAATAAAGAGTATATGGCTTGTTTTTAGAAGATCTAGTATCATTCCTAAGTCCCTTCCTTCTTTTTGAGGGTTTTAAATTTATAGAAAGAGAATAGAAATTGTGTTTTATTTCTGTGGTACTAAGGAGTGGTCTTAAGTATGCTTTACTCGTGAACTATATCACCATCACTTCTTATTTTATTTTGAGGTAAGGTCTTGCTAAGTTACTGAGAAGGGACTCTAAATTGTGATCCTTCAGACTCAGCCTCCCAAGTAACTGGGATTATGTATGTGTGCCACAAATGTGGCAGGGATTTTGTTCTTGACTTTAAAATTATTACACATTGGCTCAGAATAAAATTTAGGTAGTTCTTTTGCCATTTTTATGGCAGAAGATGGAGGCCACAGAGAGAGGATATGGCTTTCCACATCTTTGGAACAGGAATACCAAGTATTAATTCACCCTCTTCCCCTTATTCAACATTTAAAGTTTCCACAGATACTACAGAATCGTTTGAGAAAGATCAAGGGCTGTGAGGAAGGGGAACCAGTATTTCAAAGTGTCCGGAAGAGTACTCTAAGAAACAGTGCTGAGCTACCGGGGTATGAAGAATAGAGTCCCTGAGATTTAATTGTAGAAGCCGCCGAACATATATAAGAATGTAAACAATACAGTGATACATTTTTAAAAGATGATCATGGGTAGAACTTGGTCAGTTGTACTCACTCTCCCACCCCATCCACATACCCACAAACATCACACCCCTTTCACCTCAACTTACATCACACCTTGCTTGAAGAGAAATATGTGTGTTAGTGGTACTCTACTGTTCACCATGGGCAGAACTCTTTGCCTAGCCTAAGGTAGAAATCAGAATGGATCACAAAGTTCAGGACCATCTCTGTCTTTGCATCTCCCCCGCCCTCTCTCTCTCACACACAAATAACTGAAGATTTTAATTATAAATATTTTGATGGATGACATGAACTTGGGAGTATTGGGCCAAATAATTGGAATTTTGAAAGTATACATGTGCAGAAAGAGTATGAATGACACATTTCCTATCACACTGATGTTTTATTTCATTATTTTCACAAAAGCAGTTTTTTTTCTATGTAATGTAATATAATGTACTGAACACTGCAAAATTAGTTTAGTGTGTTACAGATACAAAGAGAATTAATATTTTTATCTTGTTGTTTACTAATAAATTTAAAAGAGACATGTATTTTTTCCCCATACTTTCGATTGCTTCTTTTCAGTTTGATAAAATTGGGCCAAAGGACAGTTTCTTATATTTTATTGCTGTTGCTTCTTTCCTTTATTGTATAAATTTAAGTTGTATAACTGTGCTTAGTATTACATATAAAGAGAAATATCAGTGATATAGCAGAGCAACTTAATAATCAGAAAGTATATTATATATTCATACTGTGTATGTCGGTGGTACTGGGTGTATTACCCAGACATGAATAGAAATAAAATCCTTTAATGTTAAGGAAAATAGATGAAATTGAATGATGTGATGCTGAGTAAAAACTGACACAGAAAGAAATATATCACCTCTTTTTTTTTTTTTTTTTTTTTTTTTTGTGGTGCCGGGGATTGAACCCAGGGTCTTGTGCCTGCGAGGCAAGCACTCTACCAAGTGAGCTATATCCCCAGCCCTCATCTCTTATATATAATAACTAAAATAAGATTTATGTGAAAATAGAATATTGATTACTATGGCTTGGGAGGGTGCTGGGGCATCAAGGATGGAATAAGGGCATATAAATATTATTAATATCTGCAAATGTAAGTATGAAGATATCACACTGAATCCCATTAATATGTACTTTTGAAATGTTAATAAAGTCCATCATCTCACATAATTACTTCATATCTAAAATTATGTTGTCTTTGGTATTTTTGGGATGTGAGGCAATACTGTTAACTATAGTCCTTTAATACATACCATTCTCTTTCTATGCATTCATCTTATCTTTTTGGTTGGGGGTTGGGTTCCACACACAGAGTATACAATGTATTTCTTTCTGTGTCTTTGATAATTTCACTTAACATGAAGTTCTCCAGCTTCATCCATGTTATTGTAAATGGCAATAAAAAAAAATAAATAAAATTTTGGGGGTTTGAATCTAGGATTGCTTTTTCACTGAGGTATATCCTTGGTAGTTTTCATTTTTAAGACAACACCTTGCTAAATTACTGAGCCTGGCCTTGAAAATCTGCCAGCATCTTTCTTTTAAAACCTAGGTATGGTGGCTGCCTCATCATAATTACAACCTCTCCAACATAAATGATCCTTTCTTAAGATGGTTTTTAAAAATAAACAAAAAATCTGTTTATATATTTGTATGTATTTATGCAAATATGTCTATACTTATATATAACAAGTGTGTACAAGTGGATTTTATATATAAATTTAGTTTTTTATATCCAGTTTTTTTTTTTGATGGACATTTATGTTTTCATGAAATGGCTATTGTGGAGGATAGTGTTGCAGTTAACATGGGAGTGCAGATATTCCTAAAAGTGGATTTTATTTTCTGTAATTATTGTAATGGTTACTTTGGGTGGTCAACCTGAATGGATTGAGATATGCCTAGAAAATTGGTATACAATACCTCTAGGTTTTTCTGAGTATCTTTCCAGAAGGTTGGGTCATAAAGCAGTAGGGAAGAGCTGTCATGATTGTACACAGGACCATCCAATAGATTTGATTTGAAAAAATGCAGAAGGGAAAGCTGATACTGACTTGTGCTCCAGTCTCCTTGAATGCATTTCTTTTCTCAGATGGTGTCACCTGTGGACATCTGCCATCAGATTCTTCAGTCTTTGAATATGGACATATACCATTGCTTCGCCAGTGGTCTTTGAAGCCTTCAGTCTTTTACCATAGCTGCTTCATTGAATTCCTTGATTTATGAGGCTTCCCGGTTCTTGGTCATGGCTGTTTTGAGTTTCCCTGTTTTCCCAGCCAACATTTTTGGGGACTATTCATCCCATGATCATGTGAGTTGATCTAATAAGTCCCCTTCTATATGCATCTATGTATTCTATCAATTCTGTTTTTCTTAAGGACCCTGAATAATAAAGGCATATTCTTAGAAAACTATCTGAGTCATATGGTATTTCTACTTATAATTCTTTAAAAAAATATATTGTTTTTTATTGTTCTTTTTTTGAATTTTTTAAAAAATCATTGACAGACTTTTATTAACTTATCTATATATGGTATTGAGAATTGAACCCAGCGCCTCACACAAGCTAGGCAAGTGCTCTACCATTGAGCCACAATCCCAGCCCCCTCGCCCTATCATGGTGTCTGTACTAGTTAATATTTCTAGCAAGAGTGTCCAAGTGTTTTCTGAAATAAAATTGTGTTTACAGTAATATCAAAACAATAAAATATTACTTGCCCATTGCAGCACATTCTATAGTTTCAGCTATTTGGGAGGTTAATATGGGAGAATCTCTTGAGCCCATGAGTTCAAGACCAGCGTACATAACATAGAGAGAGGTCCACCTAAAAATACAATAAAATGTTTAAGAGTAAATTTAACTAAACAAGTGAAAAAGTTACATGATGAAAATTATGAAACATTTTTAAAAAATTAAAGATCTGGGACTGAGATTATGGCTCAGCGGTAGAGTGCTTGCCTAGCACAGGCGGGACCTGGGTTCGATCTCAGCACCACATAAAAATAAAGGCATTGTGTTGTGTCCATCTACAAAAAAGATTCACTCTCTCTCTCTCTCTCTCTCTCTCTCTCTCTCTCTCTCTCTCTCTCTCTCTCTCTCTCTCTCTCTCTCTCTCTTTCTCTGTTTAAAAAAAATTAAAGATCTGAACAAATGTGAAAAATCTAATATTCATGGATTGGGAAGTCAAATATTGTTAAGATGCCATTATTTCAATATTGATCTAAAATTCCAATGCAAAATTCTTTTTGGGAATTGACAGTCTGATTCTAAAATTCACATGAAATCATAAGGGCCCCAAAATAACCCTAAACAATCTTGAATGGGAAGAGAAAAAAAATAACTTGGAGGACTCATTCTTCCAAACTTGCTATTAATCAAGACTGGCAGAAGGATAAAAATGTGGAATGATGGAATAGAGCTGAGAGTCTACAAATAAGCCCATTTGTAAACTAATTTGAATAAATAGTACTTGAACAAGTGGTGCTGGAGTATTAGATATCTACATGCAAATAATTAATTTGGAACTTCATTTCAATCCATATTCACAAGCTGAAAATGGATCAAAGTCCTAAATGAAGGAATCAATACTATAAAACTCATAGGAAATGTAAACTCAATTTCTGCCGCAGTCTGGCTGGGCGAAATAGCCAGAGGTGACACGCAACTTGAAAGTTGATGCGGGAACTGCTTTATTGCAGGGAAACTCAGTGGGAACTGAGCGGGCACTCAAGGTAGGGAGAGAGCCGCTTTATTTCGAGACAGCAGAGGTATATATACCTAACTGATTACACACAGCTTGATTCAATTAGTATCATCTAGATACAGCAGTCAGCCAATAAGGAATCTCCACCATCTTAATGGCTTGGTGGTGTTGGCTCACAAACCACTCCTGCAAACTGCCAGGCGCCATCTTAACTTGGTTGTGGCCCTCAACAAATTTCAGAGGATATGGGAAAAGAGAGAGTCAGTGATTTCTGATCTCCCCATTACACTGAAAGCAGGCAATGAAGAAAGAGCTGATCTGAGAGGTGAGTGCCAAACCTAAAGGAGATGTCATTGGCCTTGGAATGTGGTAAGACATGGGTGAATTAAAAATTAATGAGGAAGAACACTGTATGCCCTGTGTTTGGTGGTTTGGGCTCTGAAGGCAAACAGATCTGAGTTTGAATTTCTATTCTTCCCTTTAATAGCACTGTGGTCTTGGATAAGTCACTTAACTTCTTTGAGACTCAGTTTCCTTGTTGGTACAGTGGGGATGATAATAATATATACTATATAGGATAGAAATTAAATGGGGATATATAAAGGGCTTACTGCATTGACTGATGCACTCAATGATGCATTCCAGTATATGTTCAATATGATTATTTCTGGTTATAAAGGTTGTTCCTTTCTTAGTGCATCCCTCTTTCGCCCATATTCTTCTATCTTATTTGTTGCCTCTCTTTGTTGATTTGATGCCTCATTAACTTTTTAAGTTTCTTGAGGTTTTATGTTCTGAGCACCTTGCAAGGTGTCTTGCACTCATACTCTCCAAGAACTCAGAGTACATTTACTTATCAGTCAATAAATCAGGCAGCTAACCACCAGAAAGTACAGTTTTGTGAAAGTTTAAGACTTTCATGCTAAAATATGCATAAAATAAAGTTAGGTATAAAAGCAAAAAATATTGTGTCTAAAGCATGGGTGTAACCACCAAATTTGTGCTTTAATGTGGATATACATTAAAAATGAAGAAGAAAAATTAATATTTTTTTAAGGATAGAGGTGGTATGAGTGATTTTTAAGTAGTGCAACTACTGTATAACTCTCTCAGAAATCTAAATGTGTGGGTATCATCACAAAAGGCCACTGTTACTTCTCTTAGCCATGGATGACATACAAGTTTGTTGAGTCATTGGTGAACTCTTTGATTATTATATTCAACTCCCAGTATTGATATCAAAGTTTGAAGAGAAAAAGCTTGCCTGTGTCAGTGTCATTGATAATTTTGTCATAAACTACCCAGGTATGGGCAAAATAGTTTTTTTTTTTTTTTTTAACATTCTCTTTATAAAAATTGAGAGAATAACATAAAAAGAGCCTTATAAAATTAATGTGGATGCAGTTATTTCCACATTATAAATTAATACTTATTTCAGGTAATTCATTATCTTACAATTCATTAAGTCAGAGT